AGAAGTTACCGTTGGGCAAAGATGTGACCAGGTAGGAGGAGGCCCTGTACATAGGGACCTGGGGGAAGAGCCCGGCCAACTGGTCCTGAAGCTCGTGGATGGCAGGTATGCCTGAGCAATTGGAGGTCTGGGGTGCTGGAAGGGAGCGATGAGGGCGATGAGGGGAGATGGGGCAGGAGAGACAAAGCCTGGGGAGGGCTCTAGGGCGCATGAAGCCAGGCTCCACTGGAGCACTGGGACCAACAGCACCGGGCAGGGCTGGGTGTGTGTTTTGAGAAGATGGCGCTGATGCTCACTGAGGCGAGACTGGGCAGCAAGGGAGAAGGCAGCAGGGCCACTGGTCTAAGCCAGGCAGAGATGATGGCAGTGTGGTCAACGCTGGTAGAGTACAGGTCAGGAGATAAGCACTGACACTAAATGTTCTGAAAGTAGCACCAGAGGATGGATGGATGGATGGATGGATGGATGGATGGATGGATGGATGGATGGATGGATGGATCCCTGTGAGAGTGTGAGAGAAAGGATGCGGGTGGGTGGGTCCCCCAAAGGCCCAAGCAAGGGAAAAGGCCGAGTCGACATTCAGGAGAGGAGGAGTCTGCGTTCCCCTTGGGCAGAACACTCTGCCAACCAGCTGTGCCCCTTGCTCCGTGCAGAGTCCCCCGACCCTTGTGGGCACCTCCTGTGCACCTGTGACAAAGCCGCCATCGAGTGCTTGGCTCGTTCCAGCGTCAACTCCTCCCTGCGCCACCTGGACACCTCCTCCTGTCTGGCTCACACTCCAGGTAGGAAGCACGGGGCTGCAGCCATGGCGGGTAGAGGGGCAGGGCCGGGAGCTGGGGCAGGGGCCAACCATGACTGGTGTCAGAAACCCAGCCCGGCCCGCCCCTCTGACAGCTGTTGCTCATGGGTTTGTATTCCAGAGACAAGCAGCACAAAAGAGCCGGCGACCCTCTCGCCCAGCGGTAAGGCCTTCCGTGGGAGCTGGCACTTACTCAGCCACTAGAGGCTGGACTGGTGGCAGAGGCAGTGGGCACACCCCTCCACTCAGCCTGCTGCACTGGGCATGGGAGCTGGCACAGAGGACACCACCCCCCTGCCAGGAGATGCGATCGCTTCTGATAACCCCACTCCAGCACCCATACTCTCACAGGCTCCGTGCAAACCTTGGCCCTTTGTTCCAGGGAGGCGAAGCTGTAAAGGCCAGCTCCCCTGGTCTTCCCTCCCAGGAGGTCCTCCAAGAGCAGGCCTGCTGCCTTCCCTGATCCCCTTCCTCCCGTATCCCTAGAGCCCACAGAGAGGGGGCAGCCTGGGTCTGATGGGGGGAGGAAGTCTGGGACGGGGCGGTGGTTTCCAAGTGTCTGTGTGGACAGGGTTGGGCTCCAACACTGCTCACTGGTCCAACAAGGGACTGCGCCAAGGCTCGGCCAGGCATCCTGGGAGACTCAGGGTGACCAAAGTTCCTCAAATGCTCAGCCTGAACTCCCAAGGATGGGTCTCCTGGGGCAGGGCTCCCTCTCCCAGAACATGTCCTGCAGTGCTTGCCAGGGGAGGCTAAGGTGGGAGTGAGTGAATGTGTGTGTGTGTGTGTCTGTGCGCGCACGCGCGTGCGAGTGTGTGTGTGCACATGTATGGATATTGTGCATATGTGTATGTCCAAATGTGCATGTACAGTGTTCATGTATACACCTGTGTGAGCATGTTCCTAGGGGTGTGGGTAGTTGTGGGTGTGCATATATGCAC